TCAATTTCAGATGAATTCACATTTTCCTTTCAGCAAACAGACGCAACAATCAACTACAGTGATTAAATATATGTACAAAACACATGCAGTAGCATTTAAAGGAGTAGATTAAATTCAATTCTTTTAATTTAAACCGCTACAAATAGGAAAATTTCGCGGAAAGCCCAAAGCAATTTTTTAACTAAGTGCTCGACCAAACCAAATCTAATACCCCTTGACAGCGTGATTCAACGCTCCAGGGGGGCCCTAATCTTCCCACCACCAAGGGGAGGCCACATGGCGTGAACCCGAGATAAATAGAGCACAACCTCTAACAGTTGCCACTCGGGTTGTACGCCTTCACTGAGGCCGTCGGCAACAGAACATTTTGACAAGTGGACTGTTGACGGCTTAAGGCTCAGTGGAGGCGGCCGTGGTGGGAGCTAAGGCGGCAGCTAGACAGGGCCGCCTCCATCAAATGGGGAACAGTGGTACACCAGTCGCGGCCACTCAGCTAACGGAAGTGAGAAGGGTCCAGCGGACCGATGAGTGGCCGTGAAGTTCTTCTCCACACGCTGAGGGGGGGTGATGACACCCCCGCCCCTGGGGGAATTACCCCCCAACTGCTTGGGGGAGGGGCCCCTTTCAAACTTAGGGGCCTGGTGGCTGGCCGGCGAGCGCCGATTGTCGCCCAGCAGAGGGCGTGGCTGAGCGCCCCCGCCCGTGGGGGTCGAGGGCCTGGCAGAGCCCCGAGAGGAGACGCCGTTCGCACCCAGGCACAAAACGGCATGGTGATTGCCCTGGCAATGCAGACAGGGCTGTCGATGCGGACAGTCTCGCTGGAGGTGCCCTCCCAGACATGACCAGCACCAGCGGCGCTCCTTGGCGATAGTTCGCCTCGCAGGAACCGGCTTACCTAATAATTTCGGGCACAACGTTACCCGATGATCAGATGCTCGACAATAGGAGCAGGGGGGGGGGTTGACGACGACTTGCCTGGCGGGTTCAGCCTCTCACTGGGCACGTCTCGTAAGTCGTCAACGGTGCCCGCCGCGTTCTCGATCTGCCGGCACTGCTCCTCTAAAAACCGCAGCAGGTCATAGAAGGGCGGAATATAGGAGGCCTCGTCCCCGCCGTACCTCTCCTCAAAATGGATTCGAAGGTCGAGAGGTAGACGGGACAGCACTATGCGGAGCAACAAAAAGGCCCATTCGCCCACTGGTAAACCCAGCCGCCTCAACGTATTACAGGCCACCAAGACTGGATCCAACAGGTCCGGACGCAGTCTGGCCCGGTCACTAAGCAGCGGAAGGCTTAGAAGCTGCTTAACATGCTCGTCTGCAATTCGCCGGACGTTGGCGTATCTTCTGGCTAGGAGGTCCCGAGCAGTCTGGTAGGCGTCGTCCGACAATTTCAAGTGGCCGACGACGCCCAGGGCCTCCCCCTCCAGTGAGGCCAGGAGGTACGCCATCTTCTGTCTCGGGGTCAAGTCACTCCGGGCGTCCACTAGGCTGTCGAAAAGACCAACGAAGGTCAGCCATTCGGAAAGGACCCCGGAGAACTTTGGCAGGTCCAGAGTTGGGAGTCGTCCCAACAGCTCCGGCTGAGGCTGCTTCAGAGAGGACTCGGACAGGTCACTCATCCGAGCTTCACGCGCCACCTCGGCATACCTGCCTTCAGCCTCGATCAACTCGTCCGTGAGCCACAAGAACTGCTCATAGTCCGCGAAGCAGGAGTCCAGGACTCCCTTCTCCACATCCGAATCCTCGAGCTCAGCGTAAGCCTCCTCCACTGCGGCCCTTCGAGCATCCACCTGCTCGAACCGCTTCATCAAGTTATGGACCCTATCCGGTCGACCTATCAAAGCATGGGCGCTTGTGGCCCAGCGTAGCTCAGTCCGCAAACAACGGATCAGTAGCTTGGGCGATGTCATCACTATTAAAAGCAAATTACGACGCGGCTTGAGCACAGATTACAAAGATAACAAACAAAAAATACAACAAAAATTAACAGTTAATAAATGCAGTTCCTATCAAATCGCGTTGAATAGAAATTACACAAATACGAATTACTACGTATCAACCAAATACAAGTTAGCACAAAAGAAAAGACACAAATCAAATCAACAAACAACAAATACCAGTGCGATGAAACCAAGCCAAATTGAAAGTACGCAAATACAATCACCACTCTCTAGCTCAAACACAAATTACAGCATAAACGAAGACACACATCACGGTCGATCAACAAAAAATGCCTAGCTCGGAAATCGACCCTTCGATAAGTAATCCACTACAACTATCCGACAACGATAATTAACCGATTACGTAAAAATAACCATCTACCTACATGACGTATATCTCTAGAAAACTCCCGCTTGCGCAACCTAGGGCGCGGCTTTTCAAATCTACCCACTAACCAAAAAAAGGCAAGCAACAAAGAATAAAGGGAAATAATTCTATTATTACGTACAAAAAAAATATTTTTACGTATTACGGACGGGCGTGATTGTAGATACAAATTAAACCAATCACACCAACGCTCCCTGCCACCAGAATTGTTTAATGTTTATCAAACACTACGGTCGGGATCGACCGGGGAATCGAACCCGGAACCACGCTCTGCTACCAGATTGTTACGGCCTACGGCTGCTCCCTTAAAGGATCCAATCTTCAGGGGCCCATGAGCTGAAGATCTCCCGAACAGACGTAGGTCGGGCCTTAATGTGGCCACGTGGAATCTCTCTAATTACTCTAAAATATATGGGGGAGAGTTATACTACGGACAGTCGACCGGAAGGAATTTGGCGGAGTTCACTTACCTTTATCCAAGGCGACTGGTCCCTCCGGAGTCGGTCAGGTCGCATGTGGTTGTGTAGTGCAAGGGAAAGAATGGTGATGTGGTGTGTATCTGGGTGTGACCGATGGTGATTGAACCTAGACCTTAGCCGTCGGCAGCAGCCCGAGCGTCGACACCGCTCCAACTTGAGGGGGCCTTTCGAGGTTATCCACAGTCACTTTCTTGGTTCACCACGATGACAGTCACTTAACTCTATCGTACTATTAACTAGCTTACCGAAGCCACTAACTATCGCGGGGTATAAGGTTACCGCACAAAACACGCCCGGAGTTTCTGGGTCAAAGGTCACTACCGGTTCGCGTGGCAACAGATAGTTCTAAATACGGAGGCCGCACTAGCTTATATTGTCGAATGCACTTATACAGATTCTGAGTCGGACCCAATAAGTCCCGGGAAAGGCTATCCAAACAGGGAATGCGCGTTATAATTCCTAGACAGGATATTTACTAGACGCCCTAACTATTCCGCGGTTCCCGCACAAAATTAACAACGTGCAAACATTAGCACATCTGGCCGATGACTGACTCGCTTGCGACCCGCGCGCCACTGCCACGCTCGGAAGAACTTCAGACCGGAATCGCGCCGAGCCGAGTGACATCTGGTGTCGATTCCGACAACAGAGTTTTGCGCGAACACATCAATATATTTTTTATCCTTAGTCGATTAGTACTTTCTACTTTTATGAATCCGTATTCCATGATACCATTTCAATAAAATACGGAATAAATATAAAAGTAAGCTATTGTGATGATAACTAGTAAATTTTCAAAATAATATTAGCTTATTTACTACCGAAGTGACGCTACGACGGAATCGTGGAATAGCGTTTTAAACATTTGAGGCAATAAAAATTATTATCAAAATTGAATTATAAAAATTATAATGCATTTTTATGAATAGATATCGACATTACTCGTTTACTTTTTACAAAACCTATCATAAATACATTTTTTTATTTTACTTTACATATTGTAAAATACCCTATTGAACTTTTATTACAAGTTAAATTTTTTTTTCTTTTCAGTTTACTTATTCAAGGTTAGCTATCAAAACATTATATTTTTTTTTACATAATTAGGGTGACAAACGAGCACACAGTCCACCTGATGGTAAGTAGATGCTGTGGACTATAGACATCTATCCTCGATTAAGAATCAAAACGCAGATACGTCGTCACCTCTGAGGGCTAAGATAGAATGCCTCGTTTCCATTAAAAAGGGTCTACGGTTCTCTACACTCACCACACGAAGCACAGCAGCCTTAAGCTGCTGTTTTACGCTGGTATTCTGTGAGAGCGTGGACATACCCCGGTCGAGCCGACCTATTCGTGCTACAACAATAATAAAGATGCAGCGTGGCTCTACCACGTATAAAAATTACATCTAAAATTAACATTTTACATCTAAAAATTACATTGAAATTTTTATCACCTTTTATTTTCTATTCATAACGATCGGAATTGAGATATAGTGAATAATAAAAAGGAATCGTCAAAGTCGGTTCAAAATTATATGATATGATATCGCATAAAATACATACAAAAAAGAACGTCCAGTCAAATGATAATTCTTAGAAGATGTTCTTCTTCTAAAATTAATAACATATTATAATTTAAATTATTCTATCTTATTAGACGTAATCTCAGTTTAATTCGACTAAATAGCAAGATACAAGTTTAAGGATTTTTAAGCTACACTGACAAACACTAGTCCGCAATTTGAAAATAAAGAACTCTGACAGTTCTTTTTTTTTTGTAAAATTGCAGCCGTATCATGGACCGAGGACAATACAATAATTTAAGTATGTCCTAGTATCCTAAGATATAATTATTATGTTATTGTATTGTCGAAAGCTCTTTAGTATTTTAAATTATGAGAAGTGCACAAGAAAACACGACCGTGCATATAAATAGTGGTCTGCTATATAGGATCGTAAAAATGAAAATACACGTAATTTTACAGTGTAGTGTGAAATCACCCTTAGGGATGTAATGTTTATGACGGCAACTTTTTATCTCACCTCTCACGTCACTTTCCTCTATACTCTATTATCTGTATGTGGGCTTAGAATTAGAATTGTAATATTTCATGGTGTTGTGGGTGACACATATACGTAGAAAAAATCTAGTGTAAGAACACCATATTGGCACCAACTGCTGGGAAATGGAATCAATGGAATATGAGCTCGCTAGAAATCTCACTCTATTGTTCTTCGTGGAACGCCTGCTCGATAAAGGCGAGCCGAGAACGTTGCACGATCTTTCCTGCCAGTTTGGTGCCAAGGGATTCACAAAGGAGATGCGTCAAATCGCTGGCGGGTCGCAGTCGGGCTTAAAAAAGTTCCTGGCGCAGTACCCGGCGTTGTTCAGCATAGACGGGGACTATGTTGATATCAACACATTCCAGAGACTCCAGAGTGGCGGTGGCGCGTCATCCAATAATGATTACATTGAAGAGGCAAAAGAATATTTCGCTAGCAAGATGATCCAATACGGCGAGGGTACGGAGGTGCCCATTAAAAGTCTCCTGGGTCATCGCAGTCAAGCTTCACCACAGGTACGTCATATTTCTGGGCAACGCATCAAGGAGTTCAAAGATTTTCTTATGAAGCACCCCGATACGTTCCAGATCATTGATGATAATGTTGTTCTAGTCAGTGAGAATCATAGAAGAGGTAACACATGCAGCAATTCAGAGCAGTTTCACAATTTACCTGTAGCTAATATTAATACAGATACAGCACAGCAATTGTTAGATTATGTAGCTCAGTGCATTGAGGCTAAAGGTCCTGTTATGGTAGATCAGCTATTTCACTTGATTATTTCACGTTTTCCACAAGAATATTGGTACCAAATGTTTAAAACACCAGCAGACTTGAGCGCCTTTTTGAAAATATTCTCAGACTGTTTCCATGTACAATCAAATCTTGTTACACTAATTAGTAAACCAAAAATACCCGTCATGTATTTAAATGCAAAATCAAAAACAAAGACTGATCCACCAAAGCCCATTGCTGAAGAGAAACCTATATCTCCAGCACCACCAACAGTGGTAAGTCCAACACCTTCAGATGGCAAGAAGAGCCCTGCAAATAGAATACTCAGTCCTGTAGAATCTCCCCGTGGTCCACAAGCTAACATTGCGAATCAGACTTTGAAGCAGCGGATCAATTCTATTGTTATAAAGAACTTGGCTGAAAATATGGTCAGAGACAGGGTTAACAATCATTTAAATACCCGCTGTTCAGAAGAAATGAATGGCACAGCAGTTAGAAATAATATGATGGGGGATGCTTGGCGACAAAAAGTTATCCAATGTACAACAGTTATAGCTAATGTTAGGGAGTGTGCTACACTCATTGATAGTATAATGAACCCCAAACGCCACTCAAAAAGTATTGTTTCCTTTGATTGCGAGGGTATTAACTTGGGTCTTAAAGGTGTCTTGACTCTATGTCAAATTGCTACTATGAATGGGGAAGTGTATATACTGGATATAATGGCATGCCCTGGTATGGTTGTAGAAGGCAAAATTAAGGAGTTACTAGAGAGTGAGAATGTTATTAAAATTATTCATGACTGCAGAAATGACTCAGTCAATTTACACAATCAGTTTGAAATTACCCTCAAGAATGTTTTTGATACACAGGCCGCCCACGCAGTTTTGCAATTACAACAACAAGGTGTCCCAGTTTATAAAGTTAAAAACCTAAGTCTAAATGCACTCTGCGAATTGTATAATGCTCCAATGAACCCTATGAAGGAGCAACTTAAAAATGTTTACCGTAGGGACCAACGCTATTGGGCTAGGCGTCCATTAACAAAAGATATGATAATTTACGCTGCTTCAGATGTTTTATCTTTAGTTAATCCTGCAATTTATGCTTATATGTCGTCTAATATTAAGCCAGAAAATCAACAACTTTTTGAGGAGTTGAGTAATGAACAAGTGTTTATGCACATACAACCAACAGAAGTAAAATTACGTAAACGACAGAGAAAAATTAACACAGAAGTTGGTGAATTAAAGCAAAAATTGTCCGAGTCTACAAAGAATATAGTCCTAAGTAACAGAGAAATAAGATTACTGAGGTATTTAGAGCTTACTGAAGAAGAGAAAGAGAAGTTGAAGGGCTGTCATAAAATATCAAAGAAATTAGAAAAATTGGAAGCTATTGGCCAAGAAAAAGACAGTGACTCGGAAGATGATGAGAGAGAAAATGAGATGGCTAGCTTGGAGTCAAATCCTTCCGATTCAATTTCTTCGCCACATTCGACACAACCTCCAAGCCTTACGGAGTCCATGCAAATGATGGATGAAATTTTGTCAGACACAAACATGGATAAAGTGGAAAAGATAAATCGCTTGGAAGCAATTTTATCAGCTGTAGCACCACTCAGTGGAGAACTGGAAGACAAGTTTTCACAAACAATGGAACAAACACTGCCTTTACTTAAAAACAAAGATTGGTCAAATTTAAGCCAAATTTTAAATATAGGTGATGGGGATAGAAAAAATTGCTGCTGTAAATGCCATAATCCAACATTTGAAGACTCAAAATGCAATGATCTCAATGAAACAAAGAAGATGGAGGTTGGCTCACAAACCCTCAGCACAGGTGATATTGTAATCACAAGGATTCATTTCAGAGAGGAGGATAAGTTAAATGAGAGAATTCTCGATGCAACACCATTTAATAAACGGGTAGGCATAAATAACTTATCTTGATGACACTCAGGCAGTTGATATGTTACTTCCGTATTTCTGAGTGCCACAGTTTATTTATTTCGAACCTCTTTCTATATGTGATCATTTTTCATAGTATTTAAGTTAATGGAAATCTTTCAAAACTGCTATCAACTAGGCCCCAAGATTAATTTATGGGGAGGGTGGGGGAATGATAGCGGTGCATTAAAGAATAAATTAGGTTAATTGCAAACACATGCATTATCAAGTGTATTAGCATTTAGGGTAGACACTCATAACAATAAATATGAACTTTTCTCATTTTTGTGAAATATAATCAGATGTTCTATTGTGTTTATAGGCAAATATTTGTTATGCCAATTTATATTTTTATGAGTTAATACATGTAATACATGTACTATTATATGGGCTAAATTTTAAAGATTGTAATATGAATTTAAAAATTAACAATGTTAATTGAGACAAGTTTTATATACTCTCATGGAATTTTGAGCTGAGAGAATAGTGCAACCCTATTTGTTGTATGTTCATTCGAGCGAAAATGTGCATACACACTCGAATAATTGCAACTGTAAATTGCATAATAGAATAGCTACTTAATTCCTTCATCTGGAATGATCAGTATATGCTACAACTTTTTATTTATACTTTTATTTATTAGGCTATTGCCTGTTAAGAAATCGGATGAAATATGATGTGATAGATTAAACGGCCTTGGTTTTTTCTCGATTCATTTTGTATTGTAAATAAGATAAATTATTGGCACACGTAATTGTTGTCAACAAGAATGATTGAGTGTTTTCAGATAGTGAAATGAACAAAATGTGCCTACATATCTATTTATATCAGTTTTTCCATAGCGTAATGTTACAGAATCTAAAAAAATGGCAATAATAGGTATACAATAAGGTTTAATTATTCAAATGTTTAACTGAATATTGTTTAGATGTATACTAGTATATAAATCAATTAAAATTATATAGGCTAGTATGTTTTGAATGAGATCAAGGAACAAGGTGGTGCTTGGAGAAAAATAATAACTTGTAAAATTAATGAATTAGAATGAAATATATTCGGTTTAGAGTTTTGTACGGTTGTAGGGATATCTTGTTTATTATTTAAACTAAATAATTTTGTGCCTTCGAGTCATATCCGACAATCGCCTTTTGAAAGTGAACATTGTAGAATTTTATACGTATTTTTAAGTACCTATTTAATGTAGCATCAGTGTTTTACTAAACTCGAAATTACTAAACCACATAATGTAGCTTTTACTACGTTTTTTAAAACATTGTTTAATATAACATTCTTTTATTAAGAGTAGGTATATCTAAACATGTTGACTTCTTTCGAATAGTTTATTTTAATGTTATAACAGATATGTTATTAGTAAGGTGATATTTCATATTACGCTTCTTGTTTTTAGTGCTTACTTTACAAACAGCCTGTCTTAACTTTTCCTGTATTACTTATCAGTATTGTGTCCATCAAAAATAATTTTGCATAATAACGCTGTACATACGTAATAGTAAATATTTATTTACAGTTTTTACATGTGCAGTCTCCCATGTTATTGCCTACTTGATTCGAAATATTATGTAGTAAATTTTACCAAGGGTTTAATCCTAACGTTTTTATTATTTATATGTATTTTTACATTTAGTGCCTTATACACTGCACAATTTCTAGAAAATGTAGTGTATTCATTTTTGTATCATAAAACGGTGTTACAGTGCCACGATATTGTATTTAAATTTTAAGATAAAACATTTCCTTAAGCAATGCTTGCTTCGTTATCTGTAAATCTGTGTTGACTTTGATTGCAACGATTTTGGCGGTAAAAGAATTGTTCCTAATAAAGGAATTGTTGCTTACCGATGTCGGTAACTTTTAAAAATGTGGCAAATTAACCGTTAATTGATTTGCACATCGTTTATGTTTATTACAAATAAAAAGTTTTAAAATTATATATTTTTTTATTTACTACACTTCACGTAGACTTCACAATTGTACAGTGTAAAGGAGTAGGTATATTATTTAGATATCTAAAAAGGGGCACGTTAAGAGGCGACATAAGGAAACAAACGAAGAAATGGGTAGCAGTACCAACTGAAATATAAAAACTTGCAAATCCGATTGCTAAGTGTGGCAACGTAGTCTTTGGTGGCAACTATGTCAAATATCTCTCATATGAGCCAATCTATGGGGGTTTAAGAGTATAAGTATATAAGGGAAGTCTTTGTTCAGCAGCGGATTTTTGATAGGTTGTAACGGATAGGATTCTCCATATTATTTGGGTAACGACAATATATATTTTTATGATGGTATTATTTGCTTTACATGAAGAGTACCTACCTACCTATAGACAATATTAAAAATTAAACTTAAAAGAGAAACCGACTTAAAATAACTAAGAATAGAATAAAACAATTTTTTTCAGGACAGGTTATCTCATAAAGAGAATAGTTGCCATTGTAGGCGGTTGGGTAATCGGAGTTTTTATCATTTAGAGTTGTTATCAGGAAGATACTGCAGCCAATCTCATGTTGTATTTTCTTCAGTAGTCTCTTACATCCTTGGGATGATATAAGTTAGTGGATGCTCTTACGTGGATTCTCTAATTATTTTATTATTTTTAGATTGCAATTGATTTTTACTTTTTAGATAAGTAATAGATGGTCTACTAAAATCTCCTATGTTTACCCTATGAATAGATTTTTTTGCAAATTTATATGGGATGGAACCAACCTAATTATAACTTGAACCTGAGGTATAACTTAATTATAATTATTAAAAGAAATAATCATGAAAATCTGTTTACAATTGAAATTGTATGAAAAAACACAGTTTAATTGGGGACCTTTTCCTTTTTCCAAATTCGGCTAAAATAAAGTACTTAACAAAAGCAATAAAGTAAATAATAAAGAATAATTACTATAACGATCTAAACATAAATACATTTTATAGAGTTAAGTATATCACCATTGTAAACTGCATTGACATAACAGTTTTGTTCCAATATCAATAAGTTAGGCATGTTATAGTTACGATATTTTTAAGCCAATTATGGATTCTACGACCGAGTGCACTAAGCTTCCCGTCAAGAGGCTTAGTATAATATTAATTCGCCTACATAACTAGCCTTCATGAAGATAAAGTCAACAAGAATAATTTCAAATAGGACTAATGATACCTACCTACTCTTATTCTAAATAATTCTACCTACCTACATAGGCTGCACTAAAAGTATCAGGAATGGAACATTTCCACTGTTTCTGTTATATTAAAATCTTTTTAATTGAAAACTTCTGGGTTTTAAAAATAAATACTATTTATTTATTTAAAAAAAGGTTCTCGGTCTTGTCACAAGGTTTTGTCAAACTTGTTTAGTCGTTGAGAACATGGAATTCACTCGAGAAAATTCAAGAGTGATGATTTATTATGACTTTCGAAGTGGTTTAACACAAAAACTGTGTTGACCGGATGATTTCTGCATTTGGTGATGAATCCCCATTCAAAACCACAATTTATCGCTGGTTTGCTAAATTTCAACGTGGACGTGTCAAGCTCAGTGATGATCCCCGTCAAGGTCGTCCAAAAACTGCAGTCACCCAAGAAAACGTTGATGCTGTGCGTAAGCTGATTGAGGAAGATCGACTTGTGACATACCGAAATTCAGGCAACTTTAGACATTGGCATGAGTCAAATACAAATAATCTTGCATGAACAATTAGGTGTAAAAAAGTTGTTTTCCCGATAGATACCGCATTCGCTCTGTGAAGAGCAAAAAGCGGCTCGCGTTACTTGGTGCGTCAGAATTCTCGAAAGATTCCAAGCAGGATCCTCAAATGCTGTATACAACATCGTATCAGGTGACGAATCCTGGATATACGCGTACGAACCCGAAACAAAAAACTAGTCACGAGTTTGGGTGTTCGAAAATGAGTTAAAGCCAACAAAAATTGTTCGTTCAAAAATGGTGGCTACGTTTGTCTCCAAAACCGGCCATGTTACGACTATTCCTCTTGAGGGACAAAGAACGGTTAATGCAGAATAGTATGCTAGCATTTGTTTGCCACAGGTCGTTTTTGAACTCCATAAAGAAAACTGCAACCGCCGCATCATCCTCCATTACGACAATGCGAGTTCTCACACCGCACACAGAACAAAAGAGTTTTTAGAGCAAGAAAACATAGAATTATTAGACCATCCGCCGTACAGCCCCGACCTAAGCCCTAATGATTTCTATACTTTCCCTAAAATAAAGAATAAATTGCGTGGACAGAGATTTTCATCACCTGAAGAAGCTGTGGACGCCTACAAAACGGCCGTTTTGGAGACCCCAACTTCCGAATGGAATGGTTGCTTCAATGATTGGTTACATCGTATGGAAAAATGTATCAAATTTCGCGGAGAATACTTCGAAAAAGCAATAAATACATTTTTAAATAGTAATGTTGTGTCACTTCCTTGATTCCCGAAATTTTCAGTGCCGCCCTCGTAGTTATGTTTTGTGCCTAATGCTGGAAAACGAGAAGAAAAGCTATTAGTTGTGAATTTTAGACGAATATTTATTACATTTGCAATAAATGAAATTGAAGAAATCATTTAGTGAAGACTGTTGTAAGGTACGTACATATTTAGTTATTATGAATTACGTTATTGCTCAGGTATTTGAATAATTTAATAAGCAAATAAAGTAGGTATGTTCTAGCATATGAAATGTACGTACTCTTTGGTTCTAGCTATAACATTAAATCTGTCTGGTGATATTTACACAACATAATAATTGAGACCAAAGATGGTAATGGTACTATAGATAATAACCGGGCAAGTGCGAGTCAGACTCGTGCATGAAGGGTTCCGTACCATTGTAATACACGTTTATAGTAGGGGAGCCCCCTTTAATTTTTAATTTATTTTTATTATTTGTTGTTGTAGCGGCAACAGAAATACACATTCTGTGAAAATTTCAACTGTCTGTCTATTACGGATCATGAGATACAACTCACTGACAGACA